ATGCCGAAATCACGTTTGCACTCGGCGGGACGCCATTTTACACCCATGAAACTATCCTAAAACCAAGGTTTGACTCGGCTCGGAGTTCTAGTCTTTGGGCAGGACGATTGCGCGTATGTCGAAAAAGTGGTCTTTCTGATATAATTCGCGCCTTTTCTTGGCAGAGTACCCTTTCTTAAATGACCAGATTCTAATTTATTTATGCCGAAATCACGTTTGCACTCGGCGGGACGCCATTTTACACCCATGAAACTATCCTAAAACCAAGGTTTGACTCGGCTCGGGGTTCTAGTCTTTGGGCAGGACGATTGCGCGTATGTCGAAAAAGTGGTCTTTCTGATATAATTCGCGCCTTTTCTTGGCAGAGTACCCTTTCTTAAATGACCAGATTCTAATTTATTTATGCCGAAATCACGTTTGCACTCGGCGGGACGCCATTTTACACACATGAAACTATCCTAAAACCAAGGTTTGACTCGGCTCGGGGTTCTAGTCTTTGGGCAGGACGATTGCGCGTATGTCGAAAAAGTGGTCTTTCTGATATAATTCGCGCCTTTTCTTGGCAGAGTAACCTTTCTTAAATGACCAGATTCTAATTTATTTATGCCGAAATCACGTTTTCACTCGGCGGGACGCCATTTTACACACATGAAACTATCCTAAAACCAAGGTTTGACTCGGCTCGGAGTTCTAGTCTTTGGGCAGGACGATTGCGCGTATGTCGAAAAAGTGGTCTTTCTGATATAATTCGCGCCTTTTCTTGGCAGAGTACCCTTTCTTAAATGACCAGATTCTAATTTATTTATGCCGAAATCACGTTTTCACTCGGCGGGACGCCATTTTACACACATGAAACTATCCTAAAACCAAGGTTTGACTCGGCTCGGGGCTCTAGTCTTTGGGCAGGACGATTGCGCGTATGTCGAAAAAGTGGTCTTTCTGATATAATTCGCGCCTTTTCTTGGCAGAGTACCCTTTCTTAAATGACCAGATTCTAATTTATTTATGCCGAAATCACGTTTGCACTCGGCGGGACGCCATTTTACACACATGAAAATATCCTAAAACCAAGGTTTGACTCGGCTCGGGGTTCTAGTCTTTGGGCAGGACGATTGCGCGTATGTCGAAAAAGTGGTCTTTCTGATATAATTCGCGCCTTTTCTTGGCAGAGTAACCTTTCTTAAATGACCAGATTCTAATTTATTTATGCCGAAATCACGTTTGCACTCGGCGGGACGCTATTTTACACACATGAAACTATCCTAAAACCAAGGTTTGACTCGGCTCGGGGTTCTAGCCTTTGGGCAGGACGATTCCGCGTATGTCGAAGAAGTTGTCTTTCCGATATAATTCCCGGATTTCTTGGCTGTTGGAACTTTTTTTTTATGACCCTACTCTAATTTATTTACACAGAAATTGCGTTTGCACTCGTCGTGACACTCTTGTGCAACATGGAACTATCATATATCTAGGGTGTATACTTTCTGGTGTTTATTTATGACGAAAATCGGCGGATGTTTATCAGTGTTTATTTATTTCTAGAATACCAGTGGTTTTCGCTGAATTCTCTCGTGCAGGTGCTAAAACGGTGATTATCGGGAGGAAAAATTGCGAACGTAAACAACCACTGAATACGAAGAACAGCTCAAATTTTATTTACATCGTTTACAGAATCTCTTTCACATAATTCTCCCGTTCTGACTTGTATAGGACAAGGGCATTGAGGAGGTTGTCATCTCAAGAGAACAAGAGCACCGGCTGTAGCTGGCCTCTCGGTCCACTAATAGTAATCTTCAAGGTCGATGACCCAGGAGGGTTGCTGGCCTTAGGGAACAGTAGAAGAAAGCTACTGTTCTCCAAGAGTCCAAGAACACGTAGGTCACAAAAGAAAGACAGGCAAAATGCATGATTCCGGGCAAGATAATGTGTTTGACGAAAGTTCGCGTTGGACTTTTTAAGTGAAAAAAAAAAAAAACGACAAAAACATTGCTAGAGAAAAATTATATGGAAATCGGGGTATTTTTGTTTTGAACGATTTTTTTATTTCCGTCGCCGGCGGATGTTTATCGGTTAAAACTACAGGATTTATCGGTGAAAACAAAAAAAAAAAAAAAAAGAAACCAGCGTTTGCTCGAAAATATGTAAAAACCGGTGTTTTTGGGCTTTAACCGATTTCATACTTTCGACACCGGCGAATGCGAATCGGTGTTTTTCGGTTAAAACCGGAAAATATATAGCCTACGGTATATTCAAGGTTTGACACAGCTAGGAGTTCTAGCCTTTGGGTATAGGAATGCGCGTTCATCGAAAAACTGGGATTTCAGATCCATATCTCGCCTTTTTAGCTGTCTTACCGAGGTTTGAACCCCACGAGGGGTTCAAACCTCGTGCGGTATCTGCGTGTTTTGCCACTTTCCACGCAGCGGCCACGTGTAAGACGGTGGTACATTTTAATGGAACTAAGATACAGATAAAATAACTATTAATTCTAAACCCGGGCTCAAACCTTGAGTACTGTGACTGTGGTATTATAGGCTTTGTTTATGTAAAAGTGATGGTTAAGAAATTTTTTTCTCATGTGTTAATTCGGCGCACCACAATCTTCAAAATGCTATTTGCAAGCCGTAAAGAGGTTGCGCAGCATTCCCTTTAAATATTCGGAGCAATGGCGGTCTACTTTAAAGTTAATTAAACTAAAAATGAAAGTTACTAAAAGATAGCTGAGTCCCTTGGCAACCTGTTACTGATGAGTGCAATCCAGTATGGGAGGACGTTTTCTGTAGAACAACGATCTTTCATTAAAACTCGGTCTTTTTCTTCGGGTCTTGCCATAGACGCAATGTAAATATTTTTGATCGTCATTTGGCTGTGTATAACGTGATCGTACGATTTCTAAATTTTTCCCAAAAAGTTCGGACACCGCACCTAACACAACCTTAATGAGTGCAAAGCGATTATTGGCCGAGTTTTTGAGTAAGTGAATATAAACGGCTTCCGCCCATTGAGTTACGGTGGCCCCCGCTTTCGGTAGCCGATAGATGGCGCAAGTTGTAGGGACGCGCACGGGAGCCAGAGTTGCGCATTTGTTTTCCCCGCGCCGCCACGCCGCTATTCGCCGAGATCCATCACGTGAGGAGCAAAGCATCCGGTGGCGTGCAAGAAAGCCACCTTTACGGTCGCTCCGCCGACGTTTCTCTTGCCCCGGCGTATGTTTCCCTGCTTTCCGCCTCCTTTTCCTCCTCTCCAGTTTTCCATGCGCGGCGGCGCGCACGGCGCCGCTATTCGCCAAATTTAGTCACGTGAGGAGCAAAGCATCCAGCTCTTGCGGGAAAGCCGGCGCTACGGCCACGCGCCGAGGCTGAATGCGCAACTCTGCTACCGTAGGTAGCATATACAGGAACTCTAGGACGCGCCAATGTCCACCAATCTTGGGGTTGTAAGCGCTACGTAGGGGCAGCTTTTGGAACTGAACGTTTGACTTTCTTTGCCTTGTGACGTGTCCTATGACTTGTACTTTATGTCCATTTCCCACGTACTTGTACTCCAATGAGGTTTCCAGAAGAACGCATGTGTCATCATGTAGGGTTACAGCAAAAACAACCTCCGTGCTTCGGTTGCTTTTTTTTTTTCTTGCTCTGTTTGTGTTTTTGCGCGTTGCCACTGGTATGTATTTCGACTTTATATCCAGTAGCCGTTTAAGCCCTGCCTCCAGTACTTCACAGTGCGTAATAACACCATGCAGGTCTTCCCGACGTTCTACACTTTCTTTATTCTCATTTTCATACATCTCCGACATCCTAACAAAAGAGTCGTATTTATTTAGTTACGCTTGCTTAGCACAGCTGTTTAAGCGCTTCGATCCTCTTCTGCTTGAACCTACATATGCACTGCGTTGAAGCACAATCGTTGCATATACAAACTACACTGTCCTCTATTGACACAATGGTCATGCCCTCTGAAAAAGAAAAACGAAAAAACATGGTGTATCATTTTTATTTTTTAACTTCCCTCTTCCATAGAGTGCTCCTTGAAAGACGTGTTGGTATTCGAAAAACATTTGAAGACATGTCGTTTCTGCATTAGAGCTCGTTGGTACAGTCAACGTATTTTGTGTGACCTTTGCCCACCTTCGGAGAAAACCTCGAGTTCTTTCTTCGCTACGGTGCAGCCCAAGGGCATCATGATAGGGACCGCCCAGCACCCCATCGTTTCATAAATGTTTAACCGCCTCCACCATAAGGATTGTAAACCACATAAACGTAGTCTAGCATGTAGTCGTGAAAGTAAGTTGCGAAGATGAGAGTAAAATAATCAAAGACGTTTACAAATCACTGTAATACGAAATTAAAGCGCAGTTCTTGAGGAGAATGGGAGGTACGGAGGGGAGGGTAAGCTCCTCCTCCCGTCCTTCTCACCTCGTCCTCTGCTCCCTCATCCACCTTCCTCCTACCCTCTTCCTCCATAACTTACCCTCCTGCTCCATACCCTCCTGCTCCTCCTCTGTACACTCCCCTCCTCCTGCGTACGCTTCCCTCGCCCTCCTCCAAACCCCTTCTTCTCCCCCATACTGCCCCCCCCCCTCACTTTCCCTGCTCAATATAGCTGAAATTTTATCGCCACGTGAATTCAACACCAATTCAGTTTCTCCGCTAGATTTAGCTGGAAAACTGACGTCACATCACCTCAACCCCAGATCAAATCCCCGCTGAATTTAGAGGGTAAACTGAATTGGTGTTCAGGCCATGTTAAGTCAGTTTTACCACTAAATTTAGCGGGGAAACAGAATGCGCAGTGTTCAATTATGAGACACCACAGACCTCCACACCAATTCAGTTTCTTCGTTAGATTTAGAGGGAAATTTAATTGGTGCATAGGTCTGTGACGTCCCATAATGCAACGCGCGCGGTTACGCCGACGCCGACAGCGACGCCAACGCCTTTCTACGTGAGACCAGACGCTTACAAACTGCGCTCTAAAATAGCACGTGCCTTGGATTACAGCGAAATCTCTGGACCTGAGGTCGAGCTTAAAATCAAGGGACCTCGTTTACAAGTTTAAGGGAGCAACGAAGATAACAAACGACGACGTTCTGGAAGGCGACTTGACCCCTAAAGACCCTTTCAGGTGAGCAATACTTTTTTGCAGTTCGACTTCCGTATCCGCGTAATACATATTTTTGCAACACATCATGATGGTATACAAATAGGCGGAAATTTGCCAATGTTATAGATGTTATTTAAACACTTCGGTACAACTGGAGTGCAGGGACACATAGGAAATGTATCAAGTACCATACTTGGTTAGTGAAGTAAAGCCGTCAGTCCTTCATCTCACCAGCGCTAAGCTGCATTCGTGTTTAATGCCAACGTGTTCAGACAAAAGTGAGTAGAGCTGCCAATGAACACTGACTGACGCTGATTCGTGCTGTTAGGCTGCAGAGCAATTTTCTGCTTTTCCTTGGCCAGAAAATGGGTTCGTGAATAGGTCCGACTGGCCCGAAGGGTGTTCCCTCAGTTTTACGCTAGTGATCCCAGTGAATCGCCAATTTTCTTTTATACACGAGTATATGTATTTAAATTACAAAAAAAAATGTATTCATGGAACTTACTACGTCCTAGCAATTTCTAATTGTACTAATTTTTTACTTTTTAGTAGAAGTGACTTTATTTATAATTTAATCGGTTTATAAATGTCATTGCAAAAACTTTTATTAACATTTATAACTACTTTTTTTATAAATTGTAAGGCTCTATCTTTGGTCTGTAACACCAATGATCGGCGACCATACACTTCTTGCCTGTCTCTTTGCCCTTCTGCGAAATGGTTGTGCTTTGAAAGCACCGACATTGTGCAGGATGTTCACCGCAGACGCATAGATCAGGATTTGTGAAAGCTACGGTATCGGTGACGGGCACAGGAGGTGCCCCACACAAAGGGGGAGTTCCTTCAATTGGCAGGATAGCGAAAATGAATGAATCCAATGTGATCAAGATCTTACCACGACTCATGTCGGTCATTCAAATAATAAACGTTCGAACCTCTATTGGATTGTTGACGCCTATCAACATCAACGGATCACTTCTATTTTAACAGCCGTGATCAAAATGGCACGGACAATATGCTTGGTGTTGCGACAGAATAAAATAGTCATCCCATATCATACTAAAACTTCCTTTTCCATACCACGGCATTATTTAATTTAATGCAAACAAAACATCACGAATTCAATACACCCTGTGTACTGGATCCGCAACAGAAAAACAAATATTCTGAAGTACATTTGAACGCGCAAATAATGTTTTCAAAATAAGATAGTTGACAACGGATGTTTTCAAAGAAAAATCAATTTAGAAGTATTATATTTTAAAATTATGCCTGATCGGCATAAAAATATTCTTGCAAGAATGATTTTGACTGTAATTAACTATATATGAAGCAAAACGGACGCCAAGGAAATTAAATCATACTCTAGATGTAATCTGCACAAATACAACCATTTTCACATGCGGCTCTGTTGATAATGTAACGGCCGGCGGCTGTACCATTCGAACCTTACAATTGGCGCCATTCCAACCTTTTGAGGTCTGCGCGGTGACTGCAAGGGGAGTGGTAACCCTCGTATGTTTTTGCTGGCATGACTGATTCATCTAAGAATAGTTTCGATTGTATATTCTGATGCAGGTTAACAAAACTAGTACAAGTTCTACTCAGAAATGCCTTCCCTCTTTTCACTTTAGCGGGAGGAAGGCTGCAGAGGGGGAGAGTCCACTTGCTTCATCGCCAGAGAATGTTCTGCTAAAGTAGAAAGAATGGCTGACTTGACAGCAGGAGTTTGCTTTTTCTTAGCCTGCATCAAAGAATATAATGCATTGTTCACTGTGGTGAACGTTTGAAGATAAGATTGAACGTTACCTGGGTACATTAAGAACTCTTTCGACAATGCTCTTAGCTCCTGAAACATTCATAAAATCCAGAGCCACCGACCTGTACATCAGGTTGAGATACAAAAGTTGAAATCTAGAAATCTAGACTCGTTGTTGGAGACAACACGATTAAGAAAAACGATACTTGCGACATCTACCCGGAATACAATGCATTCTGCCGCCTTGAGATAAACGATACGAAGGAACCACCCTAACAAGAGTCCTTTGTTTGTTTTCCACACTTTCATGTCGCTTGCCCCTAAAGTCTCCACACAGTCAAGGTCCGGCTTCCCGAAGTACTGGTCTCGGCGTCCCAGGACAAGCCCGGCAGCATCTTCCTGGGACTACGTACAAAGAACAAGCGAGGAAAGCAGTCTCAGGTCTCTAATATTGCTCCCGTGGTCTGGCTGGCTGCAGTGAAAACGACTACAGTGAAAACGACTACAGTGAAAACGACTCGACCCCCGACGGCACCTCATAGGACCTCTACGCCCATGACATACAAGCCCGATCCCTACACGCCCACGACCTACACCCCCGAGCCTTATGCCCAGCCAGACAAAGGATGGTCCCTCGCCACAATCATGGCAGTCCTCTTGGGCTTGCTCTTCCTCGTGACCGTTGTCATCATCGGCTACTATACTCTCAAGCGGTCAAGCGACGACAAACGTGGCAATGAAGAGCGTTTGGCCGGCTACGGTGACACTACAATGGGGGACACTAGTTCTTATGACACTACTTCGGGTTCCTGAAAGAAAATAAAAACCGTTTTTTTAGGCCGCTTACATAAAATTCATTGCAGAGAGCTGAAACTCAGTCAGAAACGATATATATCAAGCTAGTGGTGAAGACAGAAGGCGATAGTTTGAAAAAACAAATGTTACCTTGATTAAACAAAAACACACGCACACTAAAACGCAAAGACGAAATATTTACAGAAGCCAACGTCTTTCTAGGGCTAAGATTTTTCAAACCATGAAATGGTAATTTAAAGGGCAATTCCACGCCATCTTTACAACCTTTAGGTTATCATCTGTTTAGTCCAAGTCTGCGACACTGATTCAGCAGATATAATTTGTTTTTCGGTAGTGTGTATAGTTTTCTAGATATCACGAATCCAAGTATCGTTCCGTCGGCACGGCGAAAACGAAACTACCGACTGAAGCAGCTTGGCAACACTGATATTAGTCGCGCGTCGTATGAGGTCAGAAATTCAGGCAGGTTTAGAGATACAGCAAAGGAGTGTGGGTAGGTTGGCATTGGGGGCACATGGGAATACACCAAATGAGGGAGTACAGGGGGATATGGGTTGGGCATCTTTCGAGAGTAGAGAAGCGATCAGTAAAGTAAAATTTCAACAAAGACTAGCTGAAATTGAGGATACACGGTGGACAGCGAAAGTGTACAAGTATCTATATATGAAAAGTCTAAACACTAGGTGGACAAACCGAACCCGCAAGCTGAGATATAAATACATTCAACGAGATGGAGCCGGTCAGAGCATATCAGTAGAAAAGAGAGTAAAGGAAACAGGAAATTGTGGGAAGAGAGAATGCAGGGGAAATCAGCTTTAGCAATATACAGGGCACAAAAACAAGAAATAAAGAAGGAGCAGCTGTATGATAACTCAGTAGGGAGCTCTTTGTTGTGTGAGGCTAGAACGGGGGTGCTGCGAACGAAATCGTATACACCAACTCATGTTTACAAACAAACCGGAGCGCCCCTAGCGGACGCCACCGGCGCCGCGCATGCGCGGGGGACGGTGGGCAAGAAGCCCGCCGTCGCCCATAAACAAACCATGGCATTGCGTTGTTTTCGGTCTCGGTGGGAGTCCCCGTGCTCTTTTTCGCGTTGGAATTGTTGATTAGACGTCCTCCTAACAATGTCTGACTACTTGAGCGGCTTCAGCAAAATTAACGAGGCAAAACTTTGCGTGAATAATATGACTTGCGGCGATTCATTTCACGTGGACGCCGCAGGATGGGCGCTAAAACCTGGCTCCCACGATGAGATTCTGCTCGCTATTTTCAGTCGCGACGTCGCTCGGGCTGCAAAAGCGTGGATTCTAGCTGAGATGGTGGACGTCGATACTGAAAACCGCAAGTAGAATCGGGCATTACAAATCGGTGATGGCCACTGGTAATAATGATCAACATCTTGTATCTACTGTTTACACTTAGCTACTTACCCCAACCAACCTTCAAAAGTGTCTTGAGGCCTGCACTTAGTCCTTATCGCAATTACCGGGTCAACGTTTAGTTTACGGGACGCTGTTGTTTGAACGCGCTGACGACAAAAAGCAGACAAGTTTGAAAGAGCAGACGACAGTTCGAACGCATGCGAAATGGAGTGCCGGCAAGAAGCACCGCGTCCCGCGTCCACAAAACTTTGGAATGTCACGTTGTCGGCGTCTGTGTGAGTCTGCATACTCTTTTTCGCGTTGGATTTGTCGAATCTACGTTCCCATAGCAATGTCTTATTACTTTAATCGCCTGAGCGAAACTATCAAGGCTCGTTACACCGCTAAACTTTGCGTAAATAATTTGACGTGTGGCGATTCATTGGCGTGAACGCCACAGAATGGACGCCAAAACCACGATGAGAATCTTCTAGATATTTTCGGTCGCGACGTCGCTCGTGCTGCAAAAGTGTAGAAGGTAGCGGCGATGATCGACATCGATACTGAAATAGACCGATGTCACCAAGCGAACTGCGCATGCGCGCGCATTCCGGAAGTGGTGCCGCCGCCATGCTACTTGTAGTCATTCCTTTCCGTGTTCCCGGCTACACGGGGCTGCGCGTACATCATCGTAGTTTATCGTTTGGGACGCCCGGGTATCAGCTTGATTCTCCTGCATGTGTGCACTTCATAAGATTGTGTTGTTCGTTATGCCTTAGTTTGTCAGCTAGCGAAGAAAGCAGTTCCAGTCGTCTTATCGCTTTAGAATCGCTTTGTCGTCTGCTTCGTCGTCGTCTGCTTCTCCGTCTTCGTGAACGCGTGAACCCACTGCCGTTCACGCGGTGTTCCTACTGCGGCCGCGGGGAAAAAACGACGACGCCACTACACGAGCATTCCGGCTGCTTGGACGTCTCAATTAACTTGGAAATAAGTGAACATCTTGTGCAATGGCAAAGAACAAGAACATTTGAGGGACAATCGGCTCGGTGTATACACCACGGAACAGCATCAAATGTGTTGGTGAAAAACTGAGCTTGGTAGTGCTCAGGCTTGGGCATAATTTTTAAGCATGAATGACGTAAGAGGAGCTAAATAGACTTTCGGGGAGCGATAGTTTGCTAAAGGTTGTTTCATTCTGGTTAATAGCTTGTGCGGCAGGATACAGATGGACTGCGGGAGGAGTCTGCACAAAAGAAAGAAATGATCTACAGAAAGGTCATGCCTGACGCGCCGTAGCAACTGGCATCTGTCACCTTAAAGCTTGTGGTGGAGATGATTTTTCGTGTAAAGTTTCTATTCAGTTTTATTTTGTTTGCGCAAGCTCCGAGCGCTAACAGCCTCTCGATGGGGGTAGCTTTTCTCTGCGGTCTCGACTTATGTTAATGTAGAATGGATCAGTAACGTCCGCCTAATAGACCAGCACAAAATGGATGAGGTTCGTTTGTTAAATTTTTGGCGGTAAGTTTTGCACTTCTAAATTGCATTATGTGGTGTTTTTACGTTTGTGTGGAAAAAAAAAGACTGTTTTCGGGAAAATTTGTTTTATTTCAAGTGATGCTTGTCTGGAATCGCTGCTCTTCTTTTAGTGATTGTCCTAGATCTTTTTAAGCACAGTTGTGCTTGAGACAGGTCGTTGGAATAACAATTATAACCACCAAAATACATCGAGCAAAAAGTGTGTTAAAGACGGCCTCCGCAAAGCAGTGCGGTTGAATAGGACAACCGATAGACCGCTACGGAGCAAATGCTCAGAGAGATTCCAGCGTACGGAACACTTCGGCACGCTCTATGTCTCGTGCCCTGCAATCTTACACTTTTTAGCTGACGTGCAATAACGTGGATATAAATTATAAAACAAATAGCGAAACAAATCGTAAAACGCTTTTTTTCGTGCTGCTCTATCCGGCTCTGTTTAGCTTTCTTTGCCATGCTTCTTTAATTTCGGGAAGACGTAAAATCCGAGGCATTTTTGCCTGGTGTTGTTATTATAGCTCCGTGGCATGCAACAGGTAAAGCCACCAATTGAAAACCATGAGTAAACACCCGGCTGAAAGTCTCGTGCTAGCCCGAAAATTTCCAAACGCCGGGCGCACAATGTACATTGACGCGGCCGGAAAACTGTGGAGAACTACAGGTACCAGAATGCACCGCGGCAGCGGTGGCGTCACGCAACTTCTGGTGAGATCGGTCTATTCGGAAGCGGAAACAGACCAAGCGTAACAAGTCGGTGATGGTCACTGGTACCAATTGATCAACATCTTGTATGTACTGTTTACAACGAGCCTACTTAAGTCGTTTGAGGCCTGCAATTATTTCTTATTGCAATCACCGGGTCAAAGTTTGGTCAACGGGCCGCTTTTGTTTGAACGAGCAGACGACAAAAAGCAGACAAGTTCGAAAAAGCAGACGAAAATTCGAACGATCAGGCGGCCGTGTGAATTTGAAGACGCACTGAACCCGCGGGGGCCCGGACAACTTGGCGGTTTTCTCTCGTTCATGTTGGAACAAAACAAATACATCTGGCGACCACAAAGTGCTGCCCGCACAAGCAATCGTAGTTCGACAGCGTCTGGTTTACCCTTTTCACGGCTACTATCCACGTACTCGGACGAACGGAGCGGGCAGGAACACAGTAAAACTGATCTCAAACCTTTCCAGACTCTTTTGGCACAGCCCCCGTCGCAGCATTTTTACAAGAACGCAGGTTTTTTGTCTGGCTTCTCCGAAAAGAACGCAAGAATGCATGTATCGCACGGCGACTTCTGCCCACCGCCCCAGACCGGAAGTGCGTCCGACGCGCCACCACCGCGGCGTGACGTAGGAGAGTTGTGTTGGTGTATAGGGCTAAATTTCAGGAAGTAGTCACTCTGTGTGACGTATGCAACCGCGAAAGGGAAACTATAGAACATGTAATTTTAAGGTGCACGGGGCTTCGTCCCACCCTCTTGGGGGGGATGACTACGGATTTAGAGGGCGCACTGGGTTTTCCGGACATGGATGGACGAATGGATAGGGAAAGAATCGCGGTAACTAATAGGAGACTAGAAGATTGGTGGAAGAGATCAAGGGAAGGATTAAAAAAATACATATAAAAAAATAGGCAATAAATTCAATTTAAAAGAGTGGGGAGTCTGTTATAACAAAATTCATACAAATTAAAAAAAAATAGTAGAAGGGACGACGAAATGTTAGGCTAGGTGGCGCAAGCTGCCGCCCGTTACAAAGGGTATAGCCATTACCTTCCATCCATCCATCCATCGTCGGCATTAGTTCTCGTCCCGCGCTTCTGAGCCGACGCACCGACAATGTCGGCTCAGTCGCACGTGGAGTTTCAAAACAGAAGGAAAGTTGCACATTTTTTTCTACCGCTTCACTTTGTTAATATGCACCAAATGTAGTGCGTTTTAGTGTGTATTTATAAATTTGCCGGCCGAAAAGCGAATCTGACTGCTATAAATATGACGCGGTCGGGGCCGGCGCAGCGTGACTGTATTTGTTTCTTGCTCGCGGTCCTAGAGAAAAAATAATGGGAGATGGATAGACAGATGTATCCAAAGCGGTCTAAGTCGTTGA